TGCAGTCGCAACGCACCGCAAACAGGGACTAGTGGAAAATAAAAACCGGAAACAGGAATTTCTACCCAACCCGGCCCTTCCGCCTCACGCTCACCGGCCCCTAACCCCCAGCACAGAACACTGGCCACCGCCTTGACCCCTGTGCTCGCCCCCTGACGCCAGAACAGCTCTCGGCAGGAAGTTTAGGTAAAATCCCCAGGAGACTGATGAATTGGAGACAGGGTCTCACTAGGTAGCCCAGGTTGGCCTGGAACTCCCAGTGATCCTCCTGCCTCAGCCTCCCCAGTGCTGAGATTACAGGCATGCACCACCATGCCCAGCTTTGTCCGTCCCTTCTGAGGACCAGCAGTTGATTGATCCCGGGGAGTGACTGGTTTCTCTCGTGCTCCAGCCAAGGGAGCCGGGTCCAAGGCCCCTCACCTGCTCAAACATGAAGGCGAACTCCACGCTGTCCTTCGGCACGTTGTCCGTGTCCAGGAAGCAGTAGAGTTTGAAGTAGAATTTCCATGGCAGGTCCCCTGCGTCGGGCGTGGCAGCCAGCCTGGGGACAGAGGTCACGGGAGACTCAGACACCAAGGGCACAGCGGTGACAGAGCCTCGAAGAGCTCCTTGGGGACCCTACCCAACCAGACGCAGAACTGCGCATTCCTCCTGGCCCCACTTTGAGAAAAACAGACAGAAAGCCTGAGTCACACCGCAGAGCGCTTCTCCTGAGCGCCCCTCTGACAGCCCCGGGGAGGCCCTGTGCTGAAGGCCACTTTCTCTGTGCTCCTTCACCCGCCTTCCGTGACTTTCGGTGACACTGACAGAAAGTGATACTCTGCGCCCAGAGCTGTGGTTATGTTGAGCAGGAAGGTGTTTTGTGCTACTTAGGGCTATGCAGGCAGAATACAAGTATTATAGGTGGTTTTTATTTTGGACACAGGCTCTCACTCTGCAGTTTAGGCTGGCCTTGAACTCATGGCCATCCTCCTGCCTCAGCCTCCTGAATGCTAGTGCTCAGGTGACAGGTGTGCGTCACCATGCCCAACTTGGTTAAATCATCCTTCAGAGCACGGCTCCATCCAGGAATGCAGACACAACGAGCAGAGGCGAAGAGTGAAACCTGCGTCAACACAGGCGCTCTATCCTATGTAGCAACAGACCAGCGCGATCCCCGGGAAGCCCACGAGGAGCGGGGCTCGAGCCTGCGGTGCTGGCTCTTGGCTCTTCCACCTGCCCTGGGGGCGGTGAGGAACTCACTTTTCGAACTTGGCCAGCACATCCGCCACGATGGTGCGGCTCTCGATGGCCTTGTGCACGCGGCCATTGTGCTCGAATAGCGCGAACATGTTCCTGCTGTCCTCCATGGCCAGGCCACGGATCAGCTTCTCCACCACCTGTGGGACAGCGGCAGGTGTGCATGGTGGGCCAGGGTCCGGAGGGCCACCCGGGCCACCCCCCGCCCCAGCTGCCCACCACCGCAGCCGGCCTGCTTGCCCTGCTTCCCTGGAAGTTCGTTTTGTCTTTCCCTTGACAAAACAGAACAGGGTATTTGGGCCATCAGGAAGGACAGAGGCGGAGCTATTTCTTACATCTGTACTAGCAGGAAAACCAGGTGAAGTGCTGGTGTTCTATCCTTCAGCTAACAAATAACAAACTACAGTAACAGTGGTGACTTCATATGAAGCCTTGTGGGGTTTCATTACATTATTCTTTTTAGCTAGTGGGTTTCATAATGCTAAATTTAGAGCTGGGTGTGGTGGGACACACTTGCAATCCCAGCACTTGGAAGGCTGAGGCAGGAGGATCACCACAAAAAAAAAGGGCCACAGATATAGCTCAGTGGCAAAAGTGTCTGCCTGGCAAGCACAAGGTCCTGAGTTTGACTTCCGGTAGCAGGAAAAAAACAAAGGGCTAAGTTTAGGAAAGGAAATGTGTCCATCTGACCTGACATCTCCCTATTCATGGGGTGTCCAGGACATCACCGAAGGGACATCACACCCCCTGGCCAGGGCCGCACGCCTGGGATGCTCAGCCGCCACCAGTGAGCAGGGTTCTGCCTCAGGCATTTTGGTACAAGTTCAACTTTGTGTTTCCACTCATCTTTTTGTTAGGGACAGGGTTTCGCTATGTAGCCCGGCTGGCCGCGAACTCCCAGTGATCCTCCTGCCTCGGCCTCCAGAGTGCTCGGCCCACAGGTGTGCGTCACCACGCCTGGCTCCTCTGCCCCTCCACCTCCCTGGACATCCTGTCTGTGTGCAGAGAGCTGCTGCTCGGGGCGCGGCCCTCACCTCCCCGGCCGTCGTGTGCGAGTTGATGGTGATCTTGCAGGACCCGCCGCCGTGGCAGTACACCGTGGACGTCATCTCCTGCCTGTGGATCAGCGCCTCGATCTCGTCGCGGGAGGGCACGAACTCTCTGCACTTGGTCTTCTTCAGAGATTCGTAGATGAAGAGGGCGTACTTTTCCATCTCAGTTCCTGGAAACTGTTCCCGGATCCTAGGGGGCAAAGGCAGACTATTAGCTAGCTGGGTCTGAGGCCAGCGGGCCTGGGGGCAGGCCTGTGTGTGGGCGCCCCCCAGTGGTGCACGGGTGAACAGCAGCGGCTTCCCGCCAGGCCCAGCCCATGGGCTGGGTCGTTTCAATAGGGAGAAACTCAAGAGCCAGTGCTTGCGAGGCTCCCCTGCAGAAGAACCCGGCTCCACAGCCATCCAAGAGGGCTTTTCCTGTGAGCCCAACTCCAACCACTCTGCAATTACAATGTACCCCGTAACATCAAGCATCACGCTGGAAACGCCACGCAGACAGTAACGTTCATTTAAAAAAGTAAACATTTACTAATAAAAACAAAAACCCAGTAAAATAAGAAATAAAAGTCTTAAGCCAAGCATGGTGGCACACTTGTCATCCCAGCACTCAGGAGGCTGAGGCAGGAGGGACACGTCATGTTCAAGGCCAGCCTGGGCTACTTAGTGAGTTTAAGACCAACCTGAATTACACCGTGAGACCCTGTCTCAAAAAACCCAATAATAAACGAATGAATGAATGTGAAAAAGAATAAAACTCCTAAATATTAAAAAAAGACAACCCAATCGCACTGTTTCCAGCTGCCTGGCGCCCCACAGACCCCACGCTGGGATTTCCGTTTGCAGCAAGCATGCAGCAGCCTCCACCGCCAGCTGCCACACCGGAAGTGCCCGGCCCCTGCCCGGATGCGCCTCACCTTTTCAGGTGGAACTTGAGGTACTTGAGGATCCCGCGGCTGGGCAGGAAGGTGCAGCCCAGGCAGGCGAGGATCTGCCAGCTGTACAGGTGGCCCGCGCTGCCCGGCTGCGGCACGTTGGTGGTCTGCTTGATGAGCTGGCAGTACAGCTCGTCCCGCAGCGGCCGGAGGTCGTGGCCCGTCTGCAGGATGCCCTGGATGATGGGCACCGGGTCGGACACGGACTCCAGCTGCTGCAGCGAGTGGAAGAGCTTGACGGCCTCGTCCTGCAGGGTGGTGTAGCCCTTGTCCTTGAGCACTAGGAAGGGAGCGCGGCGTCAGGCTGGGTGCAGGGAGAGGGCAGGGAAAGTGGGGGGGGGGTCACACTGTTCCAGAACGCAACTTTTTTTTTTTAATTCTAGGGATTGAGTCCAGCGCACTACGCTACATCCCCAGCCATCTCTTCTTCTTAAATCTGTTTTTTAAATTTTTAAAAATTTGAGACAGGGTCTCACTAAGCTGCTAAGCTGCCCCAGGCCAGGCTTCTTAAACTTGGCCTCTTCCTCCTGCCTCAGCCTCCCAGAGTGTAGAGATTACATGGTTGCGCGCCATCATGTTCAGTTTATAACTGAACTTATTAGTCCACAAAATGCTCACTGAAAAGCCCGTGTATGGGGCCGGGATATAGCTCAGTGACACGGAGCCTGTGAGAGGTCCTGAGTTCCATTCTTGGTGAAAAAAAAAAAAGCTGGTGTACGGCTCAACAGGTTCCACACTTAGCATGCAAAACTGCTTTAGAATCTGTTTCCCTGGTAGAGATGTTCTTTAAGATGGGGCAACATCCTCATAAACTCATTCTAACTTGAAATTATCACAAGGTCAAAAACGCTCTGAAGCCGGGCATGGTGGCGCACCCCTGCATTGCCAGCAGTCGGGAGGCTGAGGCAGGAGGATCACTGCAAATTTGAGGCCAGCTTGGGCTACATACTGAGATCAAGGCCAGCCAGAACTACATCATAAGACTTTATATCAAAAAAGAAAACAAGAAAGGGGCACGGGGCTGTAGCTCACAGATGGGCACTAGAGTGCCTGCCTAGCGATGCGAGGCCTGAGTTCAATCTCCAGTAAACAACCCCCCAAAACCCTAAAACTCCAACCTACCCACTGTCGTAGCTTAGCCCAGGCTCTCGAAACATGCCCGGGACACCTACGAGCCCACAGCTGGTGTTCTGGTTTAGATCGCGATGTCTTGCCAAAGCCTTAAGCACTCAGGAGTTGGGCTTATGGGACATAACTAGGTTTTTTGGGTGCTCACGGCTCACTTGCTATTAGGAGGCGGGGCTTGGCCCGGAAGAGGCGGGCTTCTGGGGCGGGGCCTGGAAGGGCCAGCCCCTCCCTAGCTCCTCCTTCACCCTGCTTCCTGTTCTCCCTGCGGAGAGCAGCTCTGCCCCGCCAGGCCCCGGGCCGCTGGACCATGCCCGCACTGCCCTGCCTTGGAGCCAGCCGCTATGGACTGAAACCTGTACAGCCTCTCACCCCAAATCAGTCTCTCCCCACTAAGCTGTGGGTACCCGGTATTTGTCGCAGCAATAGGACGAGTGACTGAGGCAGCTGGGAGAATCCCCTAACCCCGAGCCCGTTTTCTAACACACGCTGCCCCTCAGCAATGGTGGGCGCGTGGGCACCCTGCACACCCCGCAGACGGCCACACGTCAGCCAGGGTCCTGAGCCTGGGACTCACATCCAAGGGCGGCGCTGCCACCTCGGACCCCTTGGGATCCTTGACTGTTACGAGTCCTTGAATCACTAACACCAAGCTCAAAGCCCCAGCGCAGGGGCCGGCGCACGGGCGGCCCCCGACTCACGGTTGAGGTTGATGTCCCCGTAGGGAAGCGGCAGCAGCGGCGAGTGCAGGGGGTGGTGGGTGTAGCGCAGGATCGGGTTCCGCTTGTAGATCTGCTCCACCACGTCGGCGTTCAGGCAGTTCTCCTGGCGACACAGGGCCATTAGGTGAACAGGGAGGACGGGGCCTGCCCGAGGACGTGCGCAACCAGCTGGACTTCCCACAGGAGCTGAGCACGTGCATCGCACAGCCTAATTCTTTTCACGGCCCTTTCCCCACCTGTCATCTCCAGGTCACCTTCCCATCTGCAAAAGATCTATCTCCCTGTTTTCTATTTCTGTCTTTCGTTTTGCTCTTTTTTTTTTGGTTTTGGTTTTTCTCCGGTACCAGGAACCGAACTCACGACCTTGTGCTTGCCAGGCAGGCGCTTTGCCGCTGAGCTAAATCCCCAGCCCCTCGTTTTGCTCTTTATTTATACTTTGGCTTTCTCATATAAGAGGAACCATGCGATACTGAAGCTTGTGTGTCTGATTTATTTCACTCACCATTGTGGTCTCCTAGTGCATCCATTTTCCTACACATGACTCAAGTTTATCCTTCTCTATGGCAGGCTAATGTTCCGTGGTGTGTAAATACCACGTTTGCTCTACTCATTCATCTGTTTCCAGGGTCAGTAATTTCAAGGACAAAGACAAACACAATTTGTGTTTCAAGATAAATCACAGCTACTTCCAACAGCTCATTCTGTTTTAGGTGCATATACTGTCATCCTATATTATTAAAACTACTCCCTGTAGATTTTCTATATACAGTCCTTAAAAAGTTGGAACTTCCCTTCTAATGCTTTGGCCATTTGCCATGTTATCTTTACCCATACTTCATTTTAAAAGTACATTTTGCTAGGTCTTTTGCATTTTCTCTGTACCGAGAACACTGCACATCGTATGTTCATGGGGACTCTTCCTCCTTATGCCTGCCTGCCCTAAAATCTGGGATTCCAAAAGGCCAAGTTACTTCTCGAGCTTTAAATAAACAGAAGCTGGAGAAGAGGCGATGAATCATTCTTCCACAGTCATTTCATTTCCACCATGAAACTTTTTCATTAACACCCAATGGGAAGCCAGAAAAAAATTTTAAATGACTTCGAAAGTGTTCTGTGGACTTAATTAGGGCGATTTGCCTCACTTCTTAAGCATCGCTGTACAGCTAGACAATTGTATTTATCTTTGGAATGTCTGAATTAGTAATCATAGAATATAAAAATAGACATGCTACAGCTTTGAAGGGAAAGTAGGGCTGATATATACTTTTTTTTGATATATATTCTTAAAACTCCTATCTCAAAAAAAAAAAAAAAAAGAACCCTAATTCTTTTTAAGGCTAAAAGTGAGCTTATTTGTACTGGGTACCCTGGGATCCACCAAAGCTCTGAGCAACAACTGAGCTGCCATCTTTCAGCATCTTTTCTATCCTAGTTGACGGGGTCCTGCATCCGGGGTTGACAGCTCTGTGAACAACACAACCAGAAGCCCCGGTGCCACCTCCCCTCCTCGGAAATGACCGTAAAACCCTTGCTCATGGCTGTCATTTAAACACTTGCTCCTTCAACTGGCACACAATTACCGAGCCATTAAATGTTTCGGCAGGAAACTACAGCCTAACAGGATCACTATTAATCCAGAGAGTTGGAGGTCCTGGACTTTGGAGTGACTGACTGAATGTTCTAGAATGTTCTGTCTGGGAAGGTTCTATCCAGAATGTTCTACTCTGTTCTTCGTGAATCTGCTTGAGTGCTTTAGAAACTGTATAGTGGGAATAGAACTACTGGGTCCCCATCTGGAGCTGAGCTGGAACCTGCAACAGGGAGGTCATCCCCAGCCCAACTGTGCACCTCCCTGTGACCCTGCAGCCCTACAGCCCAAACTGCAGACCGCTGTCCCTCTGCTTGCAGAGCCCAACAACCAGGCTTCCCTCAGCAGCAGCATCTAACAACCTCTCCGAGGCCAAACATCTCTACTGTTAGATTTCAGTTAAAATGTCACATCTGGGTCCTGGCTCAAGATGAACCAAGTGCCAGCTGTGACGATGAGATAGGCACTGAACCATCCCGACACTGAGGTCCTGGTGGCCCAGGGCTCCTCGCCTCACCTTGATGTCCTGGATCAGCTGCTGGGTCGGGGTGTCTATGGGGGCCTTGCTGTCGGTCACGTTCTGAATGGCGCTGGCCCACCTGGTGGCCTCGTTGAGCAGCTTGGTGTAGAGCCGGTAACAGTGCTTGCGCCCGTACACGGTGATGTTCCAGTAGCCTGAAGGGACAGTGGCAGCAGGAACAGGCTGACGGTGGCCTCGGGGATGGAGGTGAAGCTCTGGTACCAGTCCCAGAGACCCAGCATCATTAGAAGCCTCTGCCCTCTCTGACCTCAACGAATTAACTCAATGAATTAGTCATTTGATCCAGCAGATGCCGAATCCTCTGTGTGCCGTGCCCTGCACCAAAACCACGCGTCCCTCAAACTGTGGCATTTGCAATAGAGAGGTGACAACAAATATTCAGACAATAAACCCAGAATTAAATGCGTAACTGGTGATATTTGTTCTCCAGGAGAGCAGGAGCGGGCTTGTGTCCTTCTCTAGGACACATTTCTGGAACGAGGTCAGAAACAGCCTGCACATTCTGACTTTCCCTCCACCCTGGGTCCCCTCAGCCTCTCTGGCCTTTCCAGCAGAAAACATGGCTAAGCGGGATGTGTGTTCACAGGAGCACTGCAGACTCCCAAATCAGATGTGCACGGAGCAACCATGGTTAAAAAAGCACAAAACCACGACTAGGAACAAAAATCCAAATACGCAACCTTCCAGAAACACTTATAGTACCATAAAAAGAAAAAAAAAAGCCACGCCAGGCACGGTGGCACATGCCTGTCATGCCAGTACTCTGGAGGCTGAGGCAGGAGCATCACCATGCGTTTGAGGACTGTGGGAACTACACGCTGAGATCCTGTCTCAAAAAAACAGAACAATCACCTCCACGCTTACATGCCTGTTTGCTTTGTACCACATGAGACTAAATTCACTGTCAGGATTTACCTTTGTAGGGTGCACGTGGCATAACGGTAAAAAGAGAAAACCAGCAAGTTCAGCCCGAGGGCTCCTACAGGATGGACCTCTGTGTCCACTGGTTCGGCTTCTTGCCCTCATCAGACTCCTCCTGGGCCTCCACAGGCGGAACCTCAGGGGTGCCGCTCACGGGCAGCCTGTCCAGAGCCCCTGTGGAGAGCCCCTTTCGGGCTGCTGAGGCCCTAGCGAGCCGAGCCGGCAGCCCGCTGGTTACCTGTCTCTTTGAAGATCTTCTCGTCCGGGGGCACGACCGAGCAGAGGCTGTTGAGAACCAGCGTGCCCAGCTTCAGCGAGTTCTTCTCCGAGCTCTTGTAATAGTCCAGGGAGTTGTGGGTCAGGACGAACCAGCGCTTCTTCAGCTTCAGCGAAGACATCTTCGGGCTGTTCTTGACCTCTTTGTGCAGCCATCCTGGAAAGGAAGGCTGGGTGAGTTCACAACTAGAGGGCGGCGCCTGCCCGGCACACTCGGGGCGGCAAAGCTCAAGAAAGTCACGAAGGGGAACCCGGGGTCCCGTGCCATTGTTTTTATCACGGGTCACATTACACAGACACAGCCTACTGGCCGGAAAACAGCCAGAAGTGTTGCTTATTTACTTTTCAAAACCAACAAGAGCCAAAGCAACTGGGAAGAGCCGCTGGGAGAGAGACGAGCCCTATCTACAGGGGCCAGGACGGCGGCGGGCACCTCGCACGATGAACTCCTGGCCCTCCACGCGCGCGTCGCCCTTGCAGCGCTGCAGCAGCGTGATCCAGTGGTGCATCTCCTCGGGCGCGTCAGCGTTGCAGTGCAGCACGCGGTTGGCCGTGATGATCACGAACGAGTTGGGCCTGCGGGACAGGGCGAGAAGGACGCAGGGTCTCTTAGCTCTTAGCCGGCGGTCGGTGTCTCCGCCCCCTGCACCAAGACGGAGCCAGATGCGCTCTCCCTGGCTGCGCTCACAAGGACGCGCACTCCCGCGCCAGTTGGGCTTTTAGGCGGACTCTGCGCGATCCCGCGGGATTTAGCTCACGCATGCTTAACCTTGAAACACATTCATTCAAAGTCCTGGGAGGAAAACGTTTCTCCATGCGGCACATTCCACACAAAACTCAAAATTCCGGGAAGGCTACACAAGGTGGCCACGTGGGAAAATGTTTTTTTGATGTTTCTCCAAAGTCAACTTCTTTCTGCCTCGGATGTTGACTGGGATGGTATTTCTGTGGGTCAGGAATGAAGCTGCAAACCCGGACAGTAGGAGAGGGTCGGCAATGAGCAGAAGTGGAACATATTTTGCGCTGCGCTATGCCTGGGGTAAAAAGCCACTTGGTCTGTGTTTCCCAAGGGATCTAACAAGAGCACGCACATCCCAGCCAGTGAAAAGGATAACGGAAATTTACTTTCACTTTGGGTTCTGGGTCTGGCAAAGTTCCGAGTCCGTTGCAGGCTATGCCCCAGTAATTCCTCTAATTGCTCAAACTACGGTGCAAATTCCCTCCTGCACATTTTCAAGTGATTACTTCAGTGAAGGGCTATCTGAGCGCATGGAAAAGAAGTCTAACTGGACTGTGGTGGGCAGGGAAATCAGTGCACAAGGGTTGAAGCGGAATCCTCTAAAAAGGGAAAGATTTTCTACAGTTGAGAAGGGAGGAGGATGGCGCTTGAGAGAAAAATCTGAGTAATATGCTGCAGGGAGGGAGTCTGGGTGAAGAAGGAGGTGGACGCCACAGTAAGAATTTCGGCTTTGATTACTGAGATCACACGCAGGTATAAGACAAAGGTAAAGTGCAGCGTACGATAGTCCAGGTTGACTACAGAAAGCAACGGATCTGCAGTTCAGAAGAGCCACAGGGTGACAGCGACACACGGATTTCATTTTGCTGGTCAGATGCTGTTTTTTGTTGTTGTCAATTTTAATACACCCAGACCCACTTGGTGGCTATCATACCAGGGGCAGAAGTCTGTTTTAATTCTCAGTCTGGTCTTAGAGCAATTCTCCCTCTCTCTCTCTCTCTCTCTCTCTCTCCCTCTCCCCTCACCCCTTTCTCTCTTTCTGCTGTGTTTCTCACAGGGAGAATACTAACTTACTGTTACTGCTTATGTCTAGATGTCTCCCCAGAGCTTCATGGGGTCATAGGTGGGGAGTTTCGAAGGTGGCTGGACTAGGGGATGTGACACTGGATGAACAGTGTGGTTATGGAACTAAGGGAGTGGGTAACGGAAGTCCCTGGGTGTGTGGCATTATCAATAGGCTTATAGCATAGAGAGAATAAAAAGGGACAGAGACAAGGCAGGCTTGTTCCTGCTGCTGCTGCTGCTGCTGCTGCTGCTGGCCCTGCCATGGACTGTTTCTCCTCCACCAGGCCGCCACGCTGCCCTGCCTCAGAACCAGCCAACGATGGACTGAAGCCTCTACAAACTGTGAGCTAAAACAAACTTTTCCTTCTTCAACTTTGGGGGTCAAGTATTTTATCTTAGCAACAACAGAAGTAACCAGGACATTTAATAATAAGGTGAAATAGCTCCACATAGGCGCTCCTTAAAGCCTATTCATCTATTTTTAAGATCTGACCAAATCACCGCCCTGGAATGTACCTGGGCAACGTGGGTAGCGGGTGATGTCCGGGCCTCACATCAGTGAGGATCTTCCCTCTTTTTATTTTTATTAGTCCACGTCTACAGTACCTACTGATTACCAGTACTGTGGGGGGTCGACAGACAAAAAAGACAAAGCTCACTGGGTACCCAGACTCCAAAGTGGAAACAAAACTGAAAAAAAGCTATTTTCAGGGCACGGAAAAAGCAGAAATGTGAAGGGAAGAAGTGTTTGGGGTGTGACTTACTCATACTCTATGTGTACGTTATGATCAAATCCCTAATTAAGTTTAGGGAGAGCAGCTACGACCTCCCTGTGCTGGAGCACCGTTTACCTCACATCTGCACCCTGTCTGTGTCTCTCTCCAGAGAACCCTCCTCTGATGCTGCTGGTGGTGTTTCAAACCCACCCTCTCCAGCTTTCTGCTGCCTGAGGACAGCCGCAGAGGAAGACTCTCTCCCAGGTGCTATAAAACTGGGGGCCAGCTAGGAAGACTAAACAGGCCAGCATAACCTCAGAGCCCAGGGCAGCCACTGAGGACCCGTGGCCACACACAAGCGCTTAAGTCACTTTGGTTTTTGTGATAGTCTTGATATATAGTTCAGGCTGGCCTTGCACTTGCTGAGATTCTCCTGACTCAGCCTCCCGAGAGCTGGGAATCACAGGTGTGCACCACCACGCCCGGCTCTTAAATCACTTCTGTTGAGAGCCACAGCTGAGCTTACCTGTCGGGGTTGTCGGAGGCACACACGGAATCGATCAGCCCCACATCCAGCGTGCCCTGGGGAGGAGCAGAGAGCAGAGTGAGAAGCAGCAAGCAGGTCTGCATCAGAGCAGTGCCCTCATTAACAGCTCCCCACACGTGCGAGCCAAAAAGGCGCACTCTCTTTGGGCTGACTGGGAAACTACAGTTCTCTGGGAAGCTGGCCTTCGCTCAGAGGACACAGACTCGAGACGGGGCAGAACCTGCAGTCTGTCCCTGGAGGATTAGGAATATGCCCGTCCGTCCTGGTCTCCAAACAGCTTCTGTGCAGAGCGCTTTATGGACGTCTTTTAACAGCGTGAGTTTTCTAACCGATGCCGGGGTCTTTCCTTGCTTCATACTTCCACTGCCACGTTTTTTAGGAGGAAACAAAGCTGTATTTCTAGAACCGGATCTTGTGTCTCTGTTTCCGTGTACAGCACTCGGCTCCCGGCCCTCTGCGGAGGCCCATGGGTCGCGCCCCCTGAGGGAGCGTGGAGATTGCTCTGTTGTTCTCTTCAGACTCTGAGGTGTGAGCACGGCAAGTGCTGCTGCCTCCACACTTCTGCCAGCTACCGCTTTCCTAAAGCAGGATTTTAAACCAGCCCTGCTTTTCTCCCTAATCAGTAGGCTTTTATTTTGTAGAGAAACTGCAGCCCATCCTCTCGCGGCCCGGAGTCCCAGGCGCCCGTGCTCACCACGGCGTTCTGCGGGTTGGCCTGCTCGTCCTGCATCTCCCGGATCTCCTGGTCGGTGGATGCGTGCACCTGGCTCAGCACGCTGAACCACTGGCTGTGGAGAGAGGGCACAGTCAGCGGCGGCCCCATGCGGGCTGGCAGAATCAGACGGCACCCTTCCCCACCACAGTGACATCGCTGTGCTCTGGATTTGGGGCAAACATGGAGTTTGTTGGTATGTCAGAAAGAGCAATCACAGTACTCTTAAACATCACATGTTTCAAAATGAAGTCAAGATCCTAGCACTCAGAAGGCTGAGGCAGGACAATCTCAGCCAGTTTAAGGCCAGCTGGAACTACACAGTGAGATGCTGTCTCAAAAGAAAATGAGAAAAAAAAACAAACCAACAGAATAAAAGTCAAGGACAGACCCTCCCCTCCAATCCCACAGTCCTTCCGACCTTGAGGATGTTGAGTGCCTTGGGAAATTGGTAGCAAATAATGAAATCCTCACTTCTACTCAAAATACATCTACCCAGGAGAGTAACTATTACTTTATCCTAGAGGACATCTAGGTGCCTTCTCATCTTTAAAAAAAAAAGTCAAAAGGGGAAGGCTAAAACTGTAAGAGCACCACAAGTACAAGGTAGAAAATGATTTTGACCAGAGAACTCAACTCATTCCTCACGTCCAGCCTACTCGAATCAGACAATAAATCAAAATGTGTCAACTCTACCATCCACCCACCCACCCACCTGAACTGTACATCTACCTGCCCATCCATGCATCCATCCATGCATCCATCCATGCATCCAAGAATCCAGCATTTATTGAGCAGCTACAGCACACGAGAGGCTGCACACGTGAGAGAAGCTGGGGCTCCTCTCCTGCCCTGCCTGTAAGGCACAGAGGCACAGGGAACAGCACATGGCATGCGATGGAAAAGTGACACCCTTGTCAGCCATTTAGGTCACCCTTATAGAAAGGCAGGCCTGGTAAATTTACAGCCAAGCACTAAAATCCATCTCCCGTGATTCCTGAAGGAGAAAACATGAAATTATTCAAAGTATATACTCTTAGCATGACCAAGGGAAGCAACTTCATGTGAACTTGCTCCACTGTTCTGGTTAACCACAAAGCAAGTCCTTGCTCATGCCAAACTCAAAAATCTCCTCAAGCTGGGTGTGGTGCTACATGCCTGTGATCCCAGCACTCTGGGAGGCTGAGGCAGGAGGATACAAGTTCAGCCTTGGCAACTTGGTAAAATCCTGTCGAAATTCAAAAAATAAAAAAAGCCTGGGGATATAGCTCAGTGCAAAGACCCTGGGTTCAATTCCCAGTACAAAAACCCAAACTCCTACATAAACATTGCAAAACACATAACTTTAAGGCGTATGTTATGCCACATGGAATCACAGACACAAAGGAATAAAATACAAATTTGCTGAACTTCAATCTGTGAAGATACCCTTGAAGTTATGAATTTCCTCTTTTGAATCAAGTTATGGCTTGGAATTTGAAAACGCATTCAAAGCCTGGGGGAAAGGCCTTGGCTAACCGATTCCAAACGTTAAATTTAGCAGGGCCCTCGAGGCGCAGACAGGGTAACCGCCAGCCCAACCTGTAATTCAGCTGGGAAGCTGCGTGCCTTCCTGGGACCACAGAAAGCCACACAGGAGCCCCAGACGGAACGATGGGACCGTAATTTCAGGTCTGCTTGTTTTTGCACTTTGTGTAGTAATTTATGAGTTCACCCGGGGTTCAGTTTATTCCCATGGGAAGAATGACCTTCCGGGGTCTGGAACATTACTGCTGCTACCATGGTGTTGCAGTGACTTCAAATCTTTCCAGGGGCAACGGTTAGGGAGGTCCCGAGAGCTTCCCAGAGCCCCAGGCCCGAGACGGGGCTGAAAGCCCTTGGACGCGGTCTCAGAGCAGGGGACAGTCACCAGTCTCACCCCGCTGACCTGCAGGAAGAGAAGGGACCCCACCCCTGCGTGTCATAGCCAGAGCGACCTGCTGATGCATCTGACTGGAGAGCAAACATGCGTCCTCCTGACCCTGTGTCTGTCACGGCTTAGGTTCACACGGCCCTGGAGTCTCATGTGCTCCCCGCTGGGCTTCTGGAGGGTGGCTGGACTATACGGGCGCACAGCAGGACCACTGTTAGGAGGCGGGGCCTGTTAGGAAGGGGCGGGGCCTGGTTCGGAATAGGCGGGGCATTGGGCGTGGCCTGGAAGGGCAGCTCTCTCCCCTGCCCCTCCCTTCTTCTCTCCCTTCTTCTTGTCCACCATGCCCTGAGCCCTGTTCCTCTGCCAGGTGCCTCTGCCCTGGAGCCAGCCTGCTATGCACAGACTGTGAGCCAAAAAAACCCTCTCCTCCTTTTAAGTTGTGTAAGTCGGGTATTTTGTCACAGTGATGAGAAAAATAACTACAACAGTGCTGCAGGCCTGAGCACCCTGACATGGCTACCTGAGGTTCAAAAACTCAAGCAGTGTGGTCCAGCCAGTCAGGACACCCCTTTCCTCTTTTCTGAGTCAAACACTTAAGCTCCCTAAGAAAGAATGTGGAATGCTTAATGCCTCCACCCAGCAGAATGGAGCACGCAAACTCCTCCGATGACACAGATGACCCCGCCCTTTCCCTGTACCCGCCTCCTAATCTGCAAGATGCAAGCCATGGTAACAACAATGCTGACCCGGCAGGGCCACGTGAGAATTAAATGAACTGAAACATGCGACACATCTGCATGCTGCTTGCAACACCACGTAGGTTAGTATGTCTTCTACGGAGCATGTCAATACAGTGACTTTTAGAACCCTCTGAATACTTCAATATTGTCATTCATTCGGCCACCAGCTAATGCCACTGTTCTTTAGATCCTTTTGCAAATCTGAGATGTGCACTTTGAAGGCTCAGAGTCTTCTCGCAGGTGGCCCTGAGCTTAGCTCATACACGGGGCTGGTAGCTGAGATGAACAGGTCTGTGTGGAGGAAGTGGGTGCTGGAAATGCAGAAGGCTGTGCCACACCTGCATGTTTCTGCCCAGGGAGGGGTCGCAGACATGACACGCTTCTCCTACAACTCAGTTCTCCAGCCGCCCTCAGAGCAAACCCCACTGGGAAACTCTCAAGAGCCAGCAGGGTGAGGCTGCTGCCCAGGCTGAGGGCGGACATGCTGGGGACGGAGTGCCCGGGTCACACCTCACCTGGCATCTTCCGGGGACTCGGCGATCAGGTGGAAGGTCCGGTCGCCCATGATGATGTCGATCCCGTTCTCCTTGCTGGTGTTATCGATGATCTCTCTGCAAAGAGATGAGAGCGAAGGTGGCACCTGGGAATGCAGAATTCTTAGTAACAACTGCAGAGAGCCACTTGATGAAGTGACTGACTGAGTTGGCAACGGTTAGAAGCCGCTGTATAAAGTGGTCCCCACTTATCCACAAGGGGGTTCCAAGACACCCCAGCAAGTACCGGAAACTGAGACGGCACTGAACCCCATATGAGTCATGTCTCCTTCCCATAGGGCCGAGCACCCCTTTCCTAGAAGGCATGAGACCAGAAGTGTGTCTGACTTTGAACGTCTGCACACAATAAGCTGTGTTCAGGATGAGACCTAAGGCTAACTACGGAATTCGTTCCTGTTTTACATACACCTAATACAGGAGCCTGAAGGAGCTTTTGTTTCACCGGCGTTGAGGTTTGAACCCAGGGCTCTGCACGCATACATTCTTCAGCTGGGCCACCCGCCTCCGGAAGGTCACACATTATGTGGTCCTTTCAGTGTGTCCACATTGTGGCCCCGACCCGTAGCATGCGGTCAGGCATGGAATTTTCCATCTGTGGCTCCAGGTCAGTGTGCAAAGTTGGAGCGTTTCAGGTTTTGGATTTTTCTGGCTAGCTCTGCTCCACCTGTACATACACCCCTGTGATAAGGCTTACTTTCCAAACTGGGCATGGTTGCCGATTAGCTACAGTCATCAATAAAAAGAACAGAACAATTACAACCATGGAATAAAAGCTAGGGAGATGTAGTCTTTCTCTCCCAAAACATGAAACTTCATTTAACCCTGTCAGACCATGGCTGACCACAGGCAACTGAAATCATGGCACAAGAAGCTGAGGATCGGCTGACGTTAACGTGGCCCTACCAGCTCACTTGCGGGGGGATTAGGTCATGGGGCTCCACCCTCAAGATCAGATGAGTGTTGATTCTAAAATTACCGCAGACTGTAAGAGGGACGGAGGCTGTGAATTCCATTTTCCCCTCTCTTGTGAGTGCTCACTGGCTCTTCAAGCAGGGGACAACTCAGCACGCAGCCCTGGCCACGTGTGCCCTCGATCCTGGACACCACAGCCTCCAGCCCCATGGCCCAGATGCGTTTCTGCTTGTTACCAGTCACCAGGCTTGGGTACGCTGTTGGAGACTCACAGTCGATGACAGCTTTCATCAATTTAGGCCTTGGCTGGTGACTGCTGTACCCAACCTGTCATGGACACACTACGTCCATCCGGGGCTGGGGAAACAGGCGGGCTTGATATCATCTGGATCTCACTCTAACATTTCCTAAACAGCACCTGAGACAGAAATCTGGGGCCAGGGTCAGAGCTGAGACAGTGATCAACTTGGTGAGAGGTCCTGAGGGGGAATGCCAGCTTCCTGTGACGGCTGAGAGTCAGACATTTATTTCACACTGACGAAGCAGAACAGTCTGTTTAGAATAGACACACAACTTATTGTTAGTCTAGCTTCATCCCGTGTGGTGGGGAACGCCTGTCATCCCAGCAGTTGGGAGGATCGGCCTGAGTTTGAGGCCAGCCAGACTACATTGTGTGTACAAAGCCAGCCTCAAGCACATAGTGAGACCCTGTCTCAAAAAAACAAAACCAAACAAATATGCTAGCTCATAAACGAGGATAGCCAGCTCTCTCTATCTGCAGGTCCCTTACGTGTAGATTCAGTCAAGAGCAGATGCAAAGTATTCAGAAAAGAAAGTAGCAGCTGTATCAAATATATACAGACCTTCTGGGTTATTGCACTTGAAACAATACAGCGTAACTACTTACCTAACATTTATATCACATTAGTCATTTTAAGTAATACAGAGGTATTTGAAATGTCGGGAAAGATGTGTATAGGTTAGATGCAAACAGAATGCCATTTTACACAAGAAAATTGAATATCCACGGATTTCTGTACCAGGGGGCTGGGAATGTCTTGAAATCAAAGCTCTGTGGATTCTGAGGGGAGATTCTCACCATCGTGTAACTCCTAATGTATTTGTACCTTTGGGAAACGATAAAACCAACCCACAGCCTGCAGAACCAACCCTACCCATGCAACAGGCAACTATCTTAACGAGAAACCCTCACGTACTGCCCTGCTTGCTGTGTGGCAGAAACGGTGAGAAGCTGGCATGTGCGTACCGAGATGCAGTCCTGACAAAGCTCCCCGACACGTGGCTCTGCTGGGAAATGTGTAGCAGACCGGCACAGGGACACAAAGAACCCCTGGTTAGCTGTAGGAGCCGGGACCCACTTCAGGTACCCAAAGCTGCAGATGTCTGACAGCCCCCTTAAGACGGCACCGTATTTTGCATGCAACCTCTGCAAACCCTGAGTGCCCGATGTCGGCAGCTGCCCAGTGTGGGTGCTCTGCAGAGCTGCTACCTGTACTTCTGAAGGAGTGAGGACAAGGGAAAAGGCTGCTTGTACACGGTCAGTACAGATGGGACTCTTCTCTTAATATTTTCCATCCAGGTGGCCCAGTCTGTACGTGTGGAAACCGGGGCCACAGGGCCAAGCTGCACAGTACTTTGGTGACATTCAGCGCACTCCACCTCCTGGCACCTGTGAGCCCATCGATGGGGCAAATAAGAGGACACTGTGGGGTGCAGAGGGGGACCTGGGAATCGCGCTGCTCGGCCAGAGCCCTGTGGGATTCAGACCCCGGTTCCCGGCTGCTCTTGCTCCTGAGGAACCAAAGCGTCGGCCTGGAAAAGCCCAACACTCTGCTGTTTGCACTTCACTGTTTGTCCTTAACACCAAATCCACAAAAGCCCCGCTTCTCACGCATTTCCCCAGGAGCAGCCGCCACCTAAGTGGCTGGTGCTGGCTGACGAGCAGTGTTGTGCTTCCAAGCCTCACCACTTCCGGGGCTACTCTGACCTCCGAGAGCCAACCTTCCCGCTTTGCTCGTCTCTGGGGCTACGCATGCGGCGCCGAGCACCGCTGCGGGTTATGCCCAACGCGTTTCTACGCTGAGCGCCTCGTTTTCCAAGAAAGCCAGCCGCCAAGCCATTTCCAAGCACAGAATTCTGAACAGCAGTCAAAGGCCCTTGATAGTCCAGAGCTGTGGCTGTCCCAGGGGCTGACAGCGAAAGGGGCTGCGCGGGTTCAAGGGCCACCTCTGCCCCTTTGTCAGCTGGGTCTGGAAGGGCAGTGCAGACAGCCCAGGAGAAGACAAGAGTTCATTTCACAACAGACCTCCAAGGGTCAGCCTGCTCCCACGTTAGCTCATTTATCTGCTGGGCCCTCAACCAACTGCTCTGTATCTACACCACTTTTCTACCATATAACTGTATTTCTGGTGAGTTATTTTCAATAGGCTCTTTGTTCGGTTTTATTTTTTTCAGACAGGGTCTTGCTACGTAGTCGAGGCTGACCTTGGAGTCACTACAGAGTCCAGGGTGCTCATACTTGCGGCAGTCCTCCTGCCTCAGCTTCCCCAGTGCTGGGATGACAGGTGTGTGCCACCGCGCCCGGCTCATTAAATCATCTTTGAGACCACCACACTCTCACACACCAAGGGATGGAGCCGTGCAACGGGGGCCCAGGCTACCCCCAGGGCGTGCCCACGTACCTGGCAGTCCGGACCTCGATGGTGCCCTTGAGCTTCTCCTCGCTGTCGTTCTCGAAGTACATCAGCTTGGCCTGGCGCAGCACGAACCAGCGCCTCTTCCAGTTCCTCCGCGACAGTGTGGACGAGCCGCCGCCCTTCTTGTGCAGCCAGCCCTGCTTGAGGGCCTCCTGCTTGGAGCGGAACCACAGGAAGGTCTCGTCCTTGAGCACGCACCAGCGGCGCTTCCAGGAGTTCATGAGGCCCCCTGCACCCGGGATGGGGAGGGAAAGGTCAGAGAAAAGCCAGGCATATGAGTTTCTTTGGATGGTTTTTTTTGAGACACAGTCTCACCATGTAGTTCAGGCTGGCCTGGAATTTGAGGCAGTGCTCCTGCCTCAGCCTCCTGTGTGCTGCATGACAGGAAGTCACCTGGCTAGGAAAAGTCAATCAAGCTGGGTGACAATGACATCCGTATCAAGCCCTCAGCTGCAGCCAACCCTTAACCCTGCCCAGGCTAAAAAGCACTCCAACACCTTCCAGTGCAGGGCGGAGCTGTGTGCTGTGTGCAGGACACATCAGACGTTATTATAGCAGTGCCACCTGGGACCACGGCCTTCCCTATGCCCCAACACAGCTCCTGCGCACTTAGCCGGCGCACCTGTGTAAGGCGTTCACGGAAAAGCTGGTAACAAACTGACGCTCTGACCCACAAAAGAGTCACAACCACTCAAAGTCACTGAGTTGCCCAAGCTGCGTTTGAACTTGTGATCCTCCCACCTCAGCCTCCCTGAGCGCTGGACTTACAGGTGTCCCCATGCCTGGCTCAGATATTATCTTTAATAGGATAAAAAAATCCTTTCCCTTTTAGTAGGGCAATTTTACTTTAGTTTTCTAGATTCCCCCAAGATGACAAAATGATATATTTTCCCTATCATTCAAAAATCCGTTTCAATTAGTATACTGAGAAACAGAATCTACTCTAAATTGCCCACACGATATTTCTGATCAACTACTAATAAATCAAGAGACATTTAAAGTTAGCATACACAACATTTTCCTTTTATAAGACTGGAAAATAAATCTAGCAGAACATTTTTTTGTGGGGGGGAGCCAGGGTCTCACTTTGTAGTTCCAGCTGGCCTTGAACTCACCATCTAGCCTGGGCTCCTCCTGCCTCAGCCTCCAGAGCCAGGGATTTTCTTCCATGACTGTGGCAGTGATTACAGACCTAAGCCTGCACTGGAACAGACACCACGGTGACAGCCCTGGCCGGCGTTCGGAGCGAGAAGGACAGTGCCCTGGCCTCGCCGCGAGACGGTGACATCCTCCTTCCTTACACTGAAAGTGCTTCCGGCTGGCTGGGCGCGCTCCGGGGCTGTTTCCTATCGGATAGCAAACTTGCCAAGGGAGACGAGCCGACAGGGTACTACTACGACTGTTTCGACTGGAGACTGTAATCTGGGTTTCTTAAATCAAACCCTGAGGACAAGTGTGGGCTCCAGTTGTCTCATCCTTCCCGCGTCGTCCATAGCAACGCGCATGCGCATCGGCATCGCTCCACCTGGCTCACGTTCTTGGCGGCTGCGCTCCTGGCTCTAAACAGCGCCCCGCCCGCCCTCCTGTGGACTTCCAGGGACATTGCGCCGCCCGAGACTGACCAGTGTCCTTCACCCCCATGGCAGTCACCTCAGGAGGCCACCTGGCGGGAAAGCTCAGCTTGGCTGGTGACTGCCTTTTCTTCTTTTATACGGTTTTCTGGGCCCTGTTTTATTCAGGACTTCATCAGAAGAGTAAATGATGCTGCACTTACTGAATCTGTTTTTATTAAGAAATGTCCCAGCTAGGCATGGTGGCGCACGCCTGTGATCCCCACACTCAGGCTCGCCACGAGTTCAAGGCCAGCCTGGACCACACAGTAGCACCCTGTCTCAAAAAAAACCCCAAATGTCCCCAAATTGCTCATCTCCTTAAAACGATTCTAACCCTTCAGTTTACATTTTTCCTACCCTTTTTATTGTAGTCAGACACCTGTAATACATCAGCGGCACATATTACATACGACGTAGGGGATTTTAAAGCAAACCTAGAAAACTAAGAGGGGATGGGAAATATTTTAACCAAAAGTTTGTGTTTGCTGTGAGCAGCAAGGAAAACATCTGCAGATGCTCTGGGTAAAAACTTATTGAACCCGTGAAGGCATGTCTCCTCCGCTGGGCTGCATCTGGGTTCAGGATGCCCTGGCCTTTTCCATGCCAGTGCTCCCATAAACGCTGCCCCAAGCCGTGAGCTCAGGGGGTAGAAGCCTCCCCTGAAGCAAGCCTGTGGGGGTTTCACGAGCATAGTGTGGGCCCGAGGCCAACATGGCGAATTTGAAAAGCAAAGAACTGGTGTTAGTCACCAGACTACTCATCAGAAGAGCAGACAGAAGAAAAAGGGAAATCAAGTAGAAAGAAAAACGTAAGTGAAGGTGTGGAGCTAGGTGTGGTAGTACACCCATCATCCCAGCACTTGGGAGACTGAGGCAGGAGGATCGCCATGAGTTAAGAGGCCAGCCTGAACTACATAGTGAGACCTTGTCTCAAAAACCAACGTGAAACAAACAAATCTCAGTTTCCACTGTGCCAGCCCACACTGCTCGGGGCTGCAGACCATACCTTTCATGTACAGGAAGCTATGGAAGTAAGGCAGCGTGACACAGCTGTACACAGAGTCCCGGCGGTAGGACAGCTCATCATCCGTGTCGAACCTGGAGTCAAAGTCTTCTTCACTGTCTTCAAACTGGACGAGGAGAGGGGGCCCACAGTGAGCAAAAGGATGGAGGACAACAGAGAAAACACCCAGCATACAGTCCAGGGAAGGGACGCAGGAGCCACACTCCCCGCTGTTCCACTGCAGTGAGAGTGGCAACCACAGGGACGCAGCACAGCAAAATACCAAGCTTTAAACTGGGCAAAGTGGCGCACATCTGCAATCCCAGCACTCAGGAGGCTGAGGCAGGAGGATCACTAAAGGACTTCAAAGCCGGCCTGGGCCACATAGTGAGACTCTGTCTCAAAAACAAAACAAAAACAAAAACAAAAACATGCTAACAAAAAAGACCCAAATACTAAGCTACACTAACACCTACAAGTCGTCTCTTCTAAAAACAGCACTGTTGTGAAAAGGTATAAACTTAACCAAACCATGCAAGTCAATCGCCTTTAAATTACTATGCTAAAAATATTTCCAAGCCTTAGAAAATTAAGATGGCACTGAATGCATGGTCAATGGGAAAACATACAAGTAAACTATAAATCCACCCAGAAACCGGAAAGAGCATATTCAAACCCTAAAGCTAGCCAGGTGTAGTGGCACATACCTGTCATCCCAGCACTCGGCAGGCTGAGGCAGGAGGATCCCCGCAAGTGAGGCCAGCCTGGTTCATACAGTGAGCTCAAGGCCAGCCTGCACTACATAGCAAGACCCTGTTTCAAAAAACCAAACCAACCCTGAAGTTTCCTCGCTTACAAGCAGCTCAAGAAATAACACCGTGCACCAGGCTGAGGAGTCACGGTGGGGTGAGATCGGGCCCACCCTTGGCACTCAGCAAAGCTAAGGGGCCACTGAAAGCGTGGTTTCCTCAGGCCTCAGCTCAAATGTAGGTCTGAGACCGGCGATCAACCTGCAACAGGCAGACCCTGGCATCTGGACAGAGAAAGGAGCCTAAGATTATCTCTAAGACCCTGCTTGGCTTTTTTTGGCAGGGTCTTGCTATGTATCCCAGCCTGGCCTTGAGCTCACGGCCATCCTGCTGCACCAGCCTCTCTAGGGAGCTGGGTTACAGATGTTACATCTGCTTTAGATCCCGATTTGACATGGTTTAGGGGTCTGTCCGTCCTATCTATCCAGCCCTGTCTATCATTCATCCATCTATCCACCATCTATCCACCATCTATCTATCTATCTATCTATCTATCTATCTATCATCCATCCTATCTGAGCTAGGATCTTGCTATGCAGTTTAAGGCCCTAAATGCAGCATGTGGCTTAGGCTGGTCATGAACTTGAGGCAATTCTCCTACCTCAGCCTCTCAGATGTTGCATTACAAGCATGAGCCATCACACCCGGTTTAGATCCTGATTTTTAAGTATCTGGTTTAGGGAAACGTCATTTTGGGGAAAGTCCTTTTTCTTTTTCTTTGGTACTGGGAATCGAACTCAGGGCCTTACAGGCACTTATGCTACTGTGCTATATCCCCGTCCCTGCTTTGCTTTTCTGAGACAGACTCTTGCTGTGTACCCCGGAACTCCTGAAGATCCTCCTACCTCAGCCTCTCCTGGGTCCTGGGATTACGTCGAGCCAGCACACCCAGCTTGGCTCCTGATTTTGCAATCTCTGGTTTAAGATCTGTTTTGGGGCTTTTTTTTTTTTTTTTGAAACGGGATCTATCGCCATATGGCCAGGCTGGCCTGGAACTCATGGTGATCTTCCCGCCTCAGACGCTCCCAAGTGCTAAGATTACGGGCCTGTACCACCACCCCAGCCAGCTTGGACCCTGTTTTGGACATCTCTGGTTCAGCGTTCCCTGCTAACCCAAGGGCTGATGCTGGCACCGGGGGTGTCCTCACTAGCATAAGTCGCCCACCCCCCTCGGTGGGGACCCCGGGCACCCACCGAGGACTGCGCGCCCTCGGAGCTGAGGCCGTAGGCGCCCGAGCTGTTGCAGGTGCCCACGGAGCAGCGGTAGTCGGGGGACCACTGGCTGCCGTAGGAGTTGGAGAAGGTGACGCTGCTGCCGGAGGTGACCGCGCCGTCGTCGTAGTCGTCCTCATCCTGGTCCCCGGGCGGGGCCTCGCCCGGCTCGCAGTAGGTGGCCTCGTGCGGGTCGGGGGGCGGCTCGGGGTCCCCCGGGGCCCCCGCGGCCTCGTGCACGTAGGGGTCCTCCTCGGAGGAGTCGTCGCTCGTGCGGATGCCGCTCGTGCGCTGGTCCGAGTGGCCGTGCTCACTGGGGTTGGGCGAGTCCTTGAAGGCGTCGTCGTCGGCCGCGAAGCCCTCGTCCTCGTCCTCCTCGTCCGGGTAGGGCTGGCTGAAGTTGAAGCCCGGGGGCCCCGCGCCGTTGCCCGGCGCCGCGGCCAGGGAGCGCTCGAGGCCGCGCACGCACGCGTCGATCTCGTGGAAGTTGAGCGCGGCCAGGAACTCGTGCGCCGCCCGGCTGGCCTCGTCCTCCAGCCGCCGCAGCTCCTCGTCCCGCCGCTGCCGCAGCCGCTGCAGCGACGCCTCGGTCAGGCTCAGCTCCTGCCGCTCCTTCATGCGCTGCAGGTCCTCGATCTCGCGCTCCAGCCGCAGGATCTCCTCCACCTGCTTGTTCTCTCGCTGCTTCTGCAGCTCGCGGCTCCGCGCCGCGTCCCTCAGGCTCTGCAGCCGGGCCTCTTCCTCCTGTGCGCAAGGAGAGGCGCGTCAGGGTCCAGGCTGCGGCCAGCGAGTACCGCTCCGCAGCCTCCGCCAGCCTGGGGGAGGCGGCGGGCGGGCGCTCAACGAGGCCTCCCCCACTCAGGCTGAAGCCCAGGCCCCCAGCCCCCAGGGTGTAATTGGGCTGGAAGGGAGGCTTTTAAAGAGGCGAGAAAGTTAAAAGGCGCTCTTAGTTTGGGGACACGTCCGATCTGAACGAGCCCTCAGCTGGGGATGGGGGCGCATGCTTGTTTCCTGACACTCTGGGAGACTGAGGCAGGACAACTGGAAGGTGTTTTCTGGTCGTGTTGTTTTGGTTTTTGCAGGACTGGGGCTCGAGTCCAGGACCCTGTCTGTGTTAGGCAAGAACTGTACCACCGAGCTACGACCCCAGTCAGGACCGCAAGTTTGGTGGGGCTCATCTGGGCAATTCAGTGACTTATAGAGAACCAGTCTCAAAAAAAATTTACATTAAAAGAATACAATCCTGGAAAGACAGCTCAGTTCAAAGGCCCTGGGTCCAAACCACAGAACCACAGCTGGGTCGATGGATAGACGGAGGGTGTTCGTCTGAGAATGGAGAGGGCACACACGCCAGGGATGTGCAAGAGGACTCAAGGGGACCCGGGAGAAGGTGACTTCTGTGCGCCACAGAGCTAGGCCTCAGGAGAAACCGGACTGCAGACTCGCAGCTCTGGGATTGGGGGGCGATGTCTCGTCACGTCACCCACCCCGTCTGGGCGACATCTCAGCAGTCCCAACAGTCTGTTTTTTTGTTTTTTGTTTTTTTTTTCCCGGTACAGGGAATCGAACTCGTGACCTCACGCTTGCCAGGCAGATGCTGTGCCGCTGAGCTAAATCCCCAGCCCCTAGCCCCAGCAGTCTGAGATGCGGTTTAAAAAAGTGAGCCCGCCGCGATTCACACTGCAATCTTAAACCCCTACTACGCTCAGGCCAGGTGCACGGGGGAGAAGTCGCACCGCAGCTGTTCCCGCCAAGCAGCCCTCCCAGGGCGGCTCTAAGTTATTTCAGTTTTGCACCCTGCAGCCAAGAGGTTTGAGGCGGGGGGGAAGCAGATAAAGCACAGGCCACGTCGTCACCACGGTCCCCACCTGCTGGGCCCGGAGCTCCGCTTCTTTCCGCAGTCTCTCTCTTTCTCTGGAAACAGGAGAGAGGGTGAAGAGCGACATTAATCTTAGAACCACTTTTAGGCAAGATGTGGGCTCGAACCCACAACCTCGGGAATGCTGGGCAGGGGCGCTGCACTGAGCGACACCCAGCCCGAGAGCTCACTTTTGAAAAGCACCTGGGAAGGGCGAGTGACAGGCACGAGGGCCCGGAGCTAAGGACGCCCTGCGTGCACAGGCGCAGGGCGGAACTAGGTCTCAGCGCTGCACAGGAGTCCTGCACTCCAGCCGGCAAGAGCGGCTGTTTGTTTGACACAGCGGGTTCTGCGGTGCCAAGGCGGAATTCTCAATAGACACGGAACCTAGAACCCAAGCGGCCCCTTTCGCGCCCTGCAGCAGGAAAGCGCGCACCTCTCCTCTTCCTCCTCGCGCCTCTTCCTGGCCTCCTCCGCGCGCTTCTCCGCCAGCATCCGCCCGAAGGCCCTGCGCGCTCGCTGGCCGCGCAGCCGCTTCTGCACCACGAGGGCTGCTCTCTTCAGGTGCAGAAACCTGCGCCGCAGCAGGAAGGCCCGGACGTTCTTCTGGATCGTCACCACGCCGCGCAGGATCTGTCTGTAGTGCTTTCTGCAGGGGAAACGGCAGAAGAGCCAGTGAGGCGGCCACGCCCAGGCGCATGCGCGCAGAGGGTATGAGCCTGGAGGCGCGGACATCCTCTCATTAGGGACATAAGAATCCCTTTCGGCCAAAGCAAAACAAAAGGAAAAGAAAAGAAGAGTAACAAACTAGGCCAAGAACTCTATCACTATCTTGGCTAAATAAACACACAGCCACGAGGGGGAGTCTGGCAGAACACTAGGTGAACAGGACTAAAGAGAATTTGATGCATTCTCCTATTCCTAGGAAAACAATCAACAAAACAGGAAAAAAATCCCACCACAGCAGAGCGGCTCTAGATTTCAGGACATGTAGCCCAGTGTGGTGCCACACACCTGTCATCCCAGCACATAAGAGGCTGAGGCAGGAGGATCGCTATGCGTTGCAGGCCAGAGTGGGCTACAGAGTGAGCTCAAGGGCAGCCTGGAGGGAATATACATAGAGACCCTGTTTCTAGAGACAGAATGACATAGATTGAGTTTCTCTCCTCCGAAATCTGAAATTCTTAAACTTTTTAAGTGATGATGCAATGCTAAAATTGTTTCAGATTATTTGGCCTGGGGTTTAGCACATGCCTAGCATAGGTGAGGTCCTGGGTTCTATTCCCATCACCATTTAAAAAAAAAAAGGATCGTGGAGCATTGTGGATTTGAGATTGTCAGCTAAGACATGGTCTGCCCGGTGTGTGCAACTATTCCAGAACCCAGAACCTGCGAAAACTGAAGCCTTCCCAGCAGCAGCATTTGGGATAAGGGATCCCCGGCCCGAGACGCCAAGGGGAGCAGGAGGACGTGTGGCTTCAGTGCCAGATGCAGAGCCACTACCGAAGCCAGCACTGCCTCAGCAGAGCCCGGGGAGGAGGCGGTGGTCAGAACTAAGGCGCCAGAAGCCCACCAGCACCTTTTCTCATGGCTGCCCTGGACCCTGCCGGGTGGCTTCTTCCAAGGCCTGCCCCGGGATGCCCCCACGGGCCAGTGCCAGGCCATTCCCCTGGGAACACAGCTGCTGCCCTCCACCTGGTTCTCACCGTGCCAAGTAGCCCAGGACATGGGCCCGGATCACCATGGCCGCCCGTGTGACTTCCTCCTCCCGCCGCCTCTCCAGCTTCTGCTCCAAGGACTCCCGGAGGAAGACCTGCAGGACGCATGGCACAGCAAGCAGAGAACGCGGTTGGGAGAAATATGGCCTCGTTGAGTTGGGGCTTTTGGGGGTAGTAGTATTTGGGGGAGGAGTTTTGTTTTGAGACAGCATCTCGCTGACTTTGAACTTGCAGCAATCCTGCTGCTTCAGCCTTCTGAGTACTGGGCTGCAGCCCTATGCCTCGTTTGGGGGTAAAGTTTTTTCTCTCTGTCCTGTTTGCTGCAGACTCCCGAGGCCAACTTTTCTAGAACAGTGCTTTTTAAAGGTCCCACCTGCCAAGGAGTAATGCGGGTGTAAAATCCAATCAGGATATACCACAAAAAAGAACTCTCTCTGTGAAGGCCCTGGAATTCTCCTGTGTTGTCACTGGGCGCTGAGACACGGTCCACAGCCCAACATGCGTTCTCCAGGGTGCAGAAAGACCCGGGAGGCTGTAAAATGTCATCTTGCCATCATGGGGACACCTCCTTTTCATGCCTGCTAATCAATTATGAGCAGAGTATTTTGGCTTCCAAAACTTAAATGTGCATAAAAATAGCAACACTAAGGAGATAACCTACTGGGTATGGTGGTGCATGGCTGTAATCTCAGCTGCTCAGGAGGCTGAGGCAGAAGGACTGCAGGCTCAAAGCCAGCTGGGCAACTGAGTGAGACTCTGTCTCAAAATAAAATAAAACAAGGGCTGGGGATGCTGCTCAGCCCCCCTGGGTTCAATTCCCAGTACCTGTAAAAGAAAGAAGGAAAGGAAGAGGGAGAAGGAGAAAGAGGAGAAGCTAATTTGTGTGAGGCCCTGGGACTGACCCTCAGCACACACACACAGAAAGTAAATAAAGATACCAATGATTCTGAGAGCTGAGTTGGTGCTGTGTGCCTGGCATCCGGACACTCCTGAGGCTGAGGCAGGAGGATGCTGTGAATTTGAGGCTAGCCTTGGCCACATAGCGAGACTCTGTCTCAAAACACAAAACAATCTGAAAACTGAATTTGAAGTGTGAATTGAAGCATCTCAGTTCAGTCACACACACACACGAATTGGGACTAAGTAAACTGGAGCTATTCTTGGGTACTTGTGTCAGAAACAAAAAGGGGCTGGGCATGTAGCTCTGTGTGAAAGCCCTGGGCTCATCTCCAGTTCCACAAAGGGCAAGAAAAAATCCCTGAGAAACTGGTGCCCAATCCACCCCTGCTTTTCTGCTGAGTCAGTTCGGAGGCCTTGCTGTGCTGGGGTTCCGTCCTCCGGAAAGGTCCCGCTTCTGTCTGCCCTTGCTGTGAGGTCTGTGTAGGTTCCGCCCTTGGGCCAAAGAGACAAGGTGTCACCTGCCGTGAGCTGATGTTACAGCCCCACTGCTGGCGTGGGATGGAAATTCCCGTACCGGAAGATCCCGAAGTCCATGAGGCCTGGTGGCAGCCCTCGCCGACACGCACACTAGTGAATAATTAAATGGAGCTGCTGACCAAGGTCAGCGCTGTGCAGGACACACAATTCCAGGCTTTGTGTTTGCAGTCCCTTTCTGTGTTTCTACTGGAGGAGCTTCCGGCCAGCCTCTGCTTCCGCTTCCAACTCCTCACCCATCAACACGTAACTCGCTTATTAGCTCTCCCCGTCTGCAGCGCTTCCCTGACGGCTGCAGGCCACGGGGGTGGTGGGGAGCTGCTCTTCTGGAAAAGCGTCTCCTTACTTGGTAAAGATCACACCCTAGGGCCAAGCCCGCCAGCTGCTTTCGGTAATTGTCATCAGCACGCCAGCAGAACGTAGGTGTCTTGTCCTCCAGCCACAGTCAGCTGGGGACAGCGGCCACATCTTGGTGCCTCGTAAGCACCAGCAAGTCCCCGGCCCGGTGGCCTGGTTTCCAGAATGCAAACCGAAGGTGCAGGTGGTTGGCACTGGGCACAGAGCGGAGATGGGTGATGGCCAGGGTGAGTCGTGAAGATCTTTGCAGAAGGCGATGAGACAGGAAGGGGTTCTCGCTATGGAGTCCAGCCAGGCTGGCCCTAAATTCAACGTATAGTACAGGTTGGCCTTGGACTCACAGCAGTCCTCCTGCCTCAGCCTCCAGAGTGCTGGGATTGCAGGCGTGCTAGATCATGCCTGGCTTCAATTCTTTTTGATTTAAATAAAAGTCGAGCAGGTTTGGCTGCACTGGTGAGAGTTCCCTGAGCCACTTTTTCTAGAGCCTCCCTAGAGTGAAGAAGCCCAGCCTTGCCCGCCTTGCAGTTGTTCAGCAGGACGGACACCAAGCAACTCCGACAAGGGCACTGTGTAGGACAATCAGGTCTTCGGGGCAGCAGCGGGGCAGCGCGTGAAGTGTCACGGCAGAGCTAAGCACAGGCACACGCGAGGTGACGGGGGTGGCACGGAGAAAGTCAAACACAGACCCATGGTCAGTGCATCTGTGCCAAGACCTGAAGGCTGTGCTGGCCGAGGGAGAAGAGCCGGTGATGAGCACTTCCGATGGCCCCGAGGCATCTGCTGGCTTCACTAACAGCCCACAGAGGGGAAGACAGGGGTCACCGCCTCCATCTCAGCAGACCAGAGCAGGAGTGCTGAGGCCAGCCTGACCCACACAGTGAGACCCTGCCTCAAAACGCCCCCAAACCTACAGACACAAGGTAGCTTGAGTGGCAACTGTCGATGCTTTTCTGACCTGCAGTGCCACAAAAGGGGCAGGAGCCTCGAGCTTGAGAACCAGCTCTTTGGAAGACGCTTGAGATCCCCCTGCCAGGCCCCAGCTGCCTGTGTTTGTGTGTGGAGGACACTGGTGTTGTCCCCTTGTGATGAGACACTGCGGGGTGTGGCGTGCAAGAGCAGAAAGCCACGTGAGAATTCTGGCAGTTCCCTGACACGGGAGGAAGTGGCCGTATCACTGATTCAATGGCTAATTTGTGGTGCGCGGGTGTGGCCGCTCTTCTACCCTCTGTGCCCATCTGGATTGAACCCAGAGTTGCTGCCCTGAGCTACATCTGCGATCCTTTAAAATTTTTTTTTGTTTTAAATTTTGAGACAAGGTCTCATTAAATTGCCCAAGGAGGCCTTGGAGGATTTAAGCTTGCGATCTTCCTGCCTCACCCCGCTAAGTGCTAGGGTTACAGACATGCACCACTGCACCCAGCTCTACTTTTCGCTGTTTTGGATTTGAGTTTTTGGCAGCCTCTGAGAGCTCAGACTATCTGCCAGCCTCCTGCATAAGAGCTGCTAGGGTGGCAGGGGCAATACCCAGTGTGGCTGACAGCCCACGGGTAGGAGCTGGGTCTCACTGCTGAGGAGCTGGGTGCTGCCCAGTGTACCCGAGGCACTCAGTCACCCTGCTTCCCCGCTTCCACACCAGGCTGCTGGCTGTGGGGCAGCTTCCTGGCCCCTCACCTTGGTCTTCCCGAGCTGCCACTCGCCGCTGGAGGCATCATAGAGCTGCAGCAGCGCCGCGCACCGCCCACGCACATCCTCGGGCAGGGCCAGGTTCCTCGCCAGCACTTTATACCTGCAGAGTGAGACCCCTGGGTCACCCCCTGCAAGCGTCCCTGTTTCCTCCCAGCCCTCCGAGAAGAAAGGGGACCAGTCAGAGCTCGCCTTTTGTAAAAATCCTGGAAGGGCCTCCGGACAGCGTAGCCGGCCTTGCGGATGCGCACGGTCTCCAGCATCCCCGAGTAGCGCAGCTGGTTCAGGACGACGGCCTGGTCAAAGTGGTCTGGCATCTGCAACAGACAACAGGTGGGGTGGAGGTGGGTGAGACGGAATTAGGAAAGGCTGCTGGGCATCCTGTCATTCCCACTTGCAGGGAGGCTGAGGCAGGAGGATCAAAATCTGAGCCCATCAAGTCCCTCTGTCTCAAGGCAAAAAACACGGGGCTGGCTATCTCTCAGCGTGAAGGCAATGGGTGCATTACCCAGCACAAAAGAAAAGAAAGAATCAAACATAGAGAAAGATTCTAAACAAAATACAAACTGCAGGCTGGACAATGAACCCTTGAAGACCCATGTCACCCAGCTTCAGCAACAGTGACCCCACCCAATCTTGTCCCACCCACAGCATACCCAATCCCACTCTTGATATTTCTGGAAGAAATCCCAGTCTTCATAACATCTATTAGTACGTATTTTTGTATGGGTCACATTTCATGTAATTGTAATACCATTATCATATCTTGAAAGAAACTAATAATTCCTTAAGATAAATATCCATGTTCAACACCATCCAGTCTCTCAGAAACCATAAATGAACCAACATTTTAGAACTCTTTTTCAAAGAATAGTGTCATAAAAACACCACTTTGTTTTGCTTTTCCATGTCATTTTCAAATGCGTTTTTGAGCTAAATAGTACTGTAATCAGTGCAGGGAATATACACACTCACACAGAGGAACGGGTGGAGAAAAGGGACAAAAATGCTAGCCAGTGGACAAACGAGGTGAAGAATTTAAATATGCCTAAGTTCTAGCCAAAACCCGCGCTCACGGAGAGTCCTGTATACATGGAGAGAGCCCAAGAACACAGAAATTAAAGACAGGAAATCGAACCAAGCCTTAGCCTCTGCCACTTACCCACTTATCTGCTCAGTGGCCAAACTGGTATTGCTGCCGGAACAATACTTTTTTAGGGCAAAGGAAAAAAATGTGGGTCATTTCCCATTCACTGCAGTTTGGATGATGAGTCACTTTTTAATCCCACCACTGATTGCCTTTAATTAACTTGTATTTTGTTCTTCTGCACAACTCAATTAGAGGATTAAACAACGCACAATAGCGTGTAATTGTTTAAAAGTACAAAAGACGCACGGAGTTTCACCTGGAGCCCTTCAAAAACGCGGTTGGTCGAGAACTCACGATCAGCTGGGAGCCAGGTTATCCCACACTTTCCAAACCAGCGAGAAAGAGAGTTACATCTCGAGGCAGCCGCTGTCTTTGAGGGCCGACTTCTCTCAGAAACTCTTCCGTGAACAGTGGTCAGGCTGTCTTTACCCAGCACTGCTCTACCCAAGCGAGCCAGCCGACTAAGGCAAACAGCCCAAACGTGCGGCTTTGATTTTAGTCTTGATTGCCTGAACTGTCCTTAGAAAAGCAAGACGTGCATAAAAAATACGGAGCCAAGAGCCCCTTGGGGAATATTCGTGCGTTTCTGCTCTAAAGACCAAAGGTGGCGGGTAGTCACTGTCCTGCGGCCGGGTGTTTACTGGGGACTCTCACCTGCCCGGCTGCAATCTACAAGCAGAGGACAGTGAAAACCCAAGACCACCCCACTCCGATACATTCGTAATAACCAAAGAAAGCATCTCAATTTAACCATGTGAAGCTGAAAGATATTAATTCAGAATACCTCTCTCCAGCCTTCACTGCTCGCGATCCAGGCTTTTTGCCCCGTAAACGCAGTCCCTGTTGACTAAAGTGCATGCGATTCCGTGGCCGAGCACCAGAGTTATTAAAACTGTCTAAGAGACAGGACTGAGCTTGTGACACTCACCATCTCCCGGGACGGCTGTCTGAGGGGCATTCCCGGAGGCTCTCCGGCCAAAATTCATATGGAAAACAACTGCCGCCCTGACCTTTTCCCCACTGCTAAAGCCATGGAACAATAATGAACACCATTCCTGAGCTTTAAAAAGTGCCCGGTCGCCATGGCAACGCCTGCCCGGCGGGCTAATTAGTGTGGTGCGGCTGTAGGGTTTGATACAGCTCGAAGGAGGGGGCCGCTGGGAACGGCCACTGGTGCTGGATCCCCGCCTTTGTCCCTCGGCTCCTTCCTAGTAATCCACCCGGGGAGGGGGATCTGTAGGCCCATGGTCACCCTGGGCAACCCACCCCACGGTCACGAGGGGGCGAGCCCAGCTTTTCATTGGCGGCCGTCTGTTCAGGGGCAACTTCCTTTTCTGGTGAATTTAACTTGCAAAGATGTCACAGTGGGAGGTGGCACAGGGAGGACCTAAAGGCATTTCGCCTTTCAAGACTTCGCTCCTGCGCCCCAGTGCCGACTGGGACGGCGCTCCTCCCTCAGTTCACTCCCACAAGGCCGCCTGCGGGGAGCTACCAGCTGGGTGCTGGGTGACAAATAGGTTAGAACTTGGAAGGAACAGCTCCAGTGCTGTGTGATTATGGCCCCCAGAGTCCCAGCTGGATGTCCTTAGTGAACAGCTATTATACACCTACTATGTGCAAGGCTTTGTGACTCATGTTCTGGAAAGACAGAGAGCTGGGGGTGGATTTGGGTTTCCAGGGTCCTGGGGTTCAGGAGGGTGCCGGGTATGCCTAGGAGACAGGCGCAAGCCTAGTATTACGCCATTCTAAAGATAAAATTCCTTGGGAAGGCAGCAGTATTTTGCCAAGTGCCTAGAGTGGAGACTGGTCCCCCATTTTCATCTGTTATACAGCGAAAAGCGATTAACTGTGGCTGGGGCTGGGGGAACGGTGACTCACACCTGTAATCCCAGCACTCAGGAGGCTGAAGCAGGAGGTTTGCCACAAGTTCGAAGCCGACTTGAACTATACGAGCAAGACCTTGTCTAAGAAAAAAAAAGTGATTAATGTGAAGGACCTGAAAGAGGGCAAATCCAGCCTGGGTTGTTAAAATGCTGGTGTGGAAGGGCGCCCCTGCAGGAAGCAGCATGAACAAAAAAAGGCGACGAGACCGGGGCTGAAGGTGACACTAGGTTCACGCTGAGGGTCACTGTCCCAGGGGAGGAGCTCCTGAAGATGGACAAGGGCTCTTTGGCATCAGCAAGAACCCTGGAAACCAGACCCTCACCTGCCAGAGGACTGCAGGGTCTCCTTGGATGCCACGCCCACTGTGGATATTAGCAGCCCGAACAGGAGGGACCACTGAGGGCCCGCAATGCCTGGGGTCTCCTCACGTAGCTTTCTGGGGAAAGGAAGCTACAGAAAGGACGTCACAGTCTCTTTGTGTAGGGGAACAATGGCCCTCACACACAGCCTGCGTTCTCTGGGTGCGCGTGGAAGCACATGTGTTCACGCAGGCGTGCGGAGATGCGGGGGACACCTGCTTAGCGGGTTCCTGCACTGGGGGTCGGGGAGAGAGCCCCCAAAAAGACAGTGAGAAGACTGGACTGCCCTAAATGAAGGAGACACTCTCACGGAGATGGTGGACTGCTTCAGTATGATTACACGGATACAGCACCTTCGAGGACATTTCAGAACAATCATTTCTTGCAAGGGAAATAAGATCCAGAATGGGTTCTGGAGGTTCTGTCAGGAAGAGGGAGAAGGTGGTCAGAGGAGCAGGGCCCTGAAAAATGCAGATAACCTGTACGTGACCACCGAGAAGAAAACTGGCTCCAGGATTCTGCAGGGACACCAGAAGTCTTGGGTCCTCTGAGCCTTACACAAAATGGCTTAGTAGAGGCCTGGTGTGGTGGTTATGCCTGTAACCTCAGCACTCTGGGAGGCTGAGGCAGGAGAATCACAAATTGAAGCCTGGGCAACTCAGCAACATGAAGATCCTACCTCAGAAAGAGATAGGTAGGGGTGGCTGTGGATGTAGCTCAGTGTGAAGGTTTTGGGTTCGACCCTCAGTGACACACAAGCACGTATGCACAGGCTTACTAGGACTGGGGGTACAGAACAGTGGTAGAGAGGTAGGGTGCCTGCCCCCAGTACACAAAGCGGAGTTTTATCCCAAGCTTGGGGGTGGAGGGGTGGTTAAAAAGGGGTCACGTTTACACACAACCTATGCACGCCCTCCTCGATGTACCATCTCCAACACTAAGTGCCGTGCAAACAGTTACTGTACTGAACTCGTGGGGATACGGACAAGAAAAAAGCCCATACATCTCAGTGCAGATCCATTTTTTTTTCCATGAAATTTCAGTCCGCAGGGAGTTGAGCCCGTGCATGAGAACACCAAGGACACCATGGTCCGCAGGGCAGCTCTGCAGGTCACAAAGCAACGGCACCCACACAGGCTACGAGAATCCCAAGAGCAAGAACAAGCACAGAGGCCTCAAGGAGTCCATGCGTGAACGTTCAGAGCCGGAATCCACAGAAGCAGACGCCAGACTGCTGGCGGCCGAAGGTGAGGGGCAGGAGGATCTGTACTGGGCCGGACAGCTCTGGGGCTGGGTCTCCTTTTCAAGAGGAACAACATACTCCGGATGGACCGTGGTGATGACTGCATGGATCAGTGATTATTTTAGAAACCACCGAGTTGCACATTTTAACTGAGTCAACGGCATGCCATGTGGAGTCTCCCTCAAAGAAGTGTTAGAAGAAAAAAAGAGGCATTTAAAATGGACAGGAAGGGGGCTGGGGATTTAGCTCAGTGGCACAGCGCCTGCCTGGCAAGTGCAAGGTCATGAATTTGATTCCCGGTACCAGAAGAAAACCAAAAAAAAAAAAAAAAAAAAAAATGGACAGGAAGGGATGCAGGCAGGAAGACGTGTGCATCCCGAATGAAATCTTTTTAGTTTCAGCAGTCGGGTGTGGTGGTACACACTTGCAACCCCAGCACTCTGGGAAGCTGAGGCAGCAGGATCGCCAAGTTTAGGCCCAGCCTGGGCAACGTAACAACTTATGGAAACCTGTTCCAAAATTTAACAAATCAGAAAAGGACTGGGGAATGCAGCACAGTGTGAGGGCCTGGGTTTAATCCCCAGGATATCCCCCCCGTCCCATATAGCTAGTTTTAATTTGCACTCAGGTTAAGTTCATTAGAATGAATACAATTAGAAAAACTTCTTTCCACACAATCTG